GTGCTTGTCCAATAATCCATCCTGCATTATACACAAGTGAAAATTCTGCAGTCAACAAGAGTACTGAATTCCTCCTACTGCTTTTGTCCAAGTGCTGAATTCTGTATTCACACATAGAGCCTGCAAGAGCAAAAAGGTGCTCAGTTTTCCATATTACAGGTTCACAGAATCATTTAGTGTTTTGGGTTGGAAGGGACCTTAAAGATCTCATTCCAACTCTCCTACCTTTGGCAAGGACACCTTCCACTAGACCGAGCTGCCCAGGGCCCCATCCAACTTGGCCTTTAACTCTCCAGCGATGGGGTATTCACAGGTTCTCTGGGAAACCCGTGCCAATGCCTTACCACCCTTACAGCAAAGATCTCTTTCTTATTATCTAATTATTCCTATTATCTAATCTACCCTCTTTCAATTTAAAGCAGTTTCTCCTTGTCCTAGAACTACATGCCCTTGTAAAAAGTCCCTTTCCAGCTCTTCATTTTCTCTGTCTATTTAGTCTTTATTCTTTTCTGACCTGCTGTAAGCATAAAGAAGTGGTAAACTACCGATTCACGCTGTTAACTTTGGGCTATTTTCTTGTGACCACTAGGAGGAATTTGTTTGTGTCAACCTAGCTGGTATACCAGTGGGTACTGAGCAGTAACAAGCTTTATCTACTGCGACCTTAGCCTAACTTCTGTAGTGTTATATGGTGTCTGTCTTCCTTGTTTTGTGTTCCATTCTGTATCTGTTAATTGAAGAGATCGTTTGCATGCCAGTAAAAGAAAGAAAGCCACAGTTTCTCTCATTTTTTGGTAGTTGCTGAGACATTGTTTATACTTTCCTGCAGGTCTTCTTTCTCATTGTATTTACTTATTTGTCATGGCATATGGCATCTCTAATTTAAACCAGACCTTCTGTTCATTGCCATAATTAATATTCTGTTCTTCTGAGCCATACTTTGCTGCTACTTTGGTGACAGTTTGTACCTTAACAAAGCTATGTTAAGGTCCTTGAGATCATCATTAGATTGTTGACCAAATTCTTCCCTCCTCTTCCTATGTACTTGGCTTGTTGTGGAGTGGCTCCATCCCAGGGCTCTGCAGAACAACGATTAGATTTTTTTCCTCTTTATATGCTGTCTCCTACTTTAGTTTTTCACAATCACAATATAATGTTCTTTTGCTTTGCTGATGGTTCCCAGCTCCCTCTCTGTTTCCTGATACTTCAGCTGCAGCCTCTGTTTTGTCGCAGTGTTTGGCAGAAATTCAGAACTGAGCACCTTAATTTTAAAGTGAATTTGAACAAGATGGAAGTAAAACTAATTATCTCATGGCAAAAGATTGCAACAGCCCCTTCTGCAACCATGTAATTTAATAGTCCAGTGTTCTCTCTGCACTTAAGATTTCAATATTGTTTTTGGATCAATGTTTTTAAAATAAAGACCAGGTAATGTATATGTTCTGACAAGAGACGGGTTTATCACTTAAAGAATCCTGCTGGAGAGACACCATTTATATTCTGTTGCCAGAGTGATGATATTTTAGTCATTGACAATGTTAATCCTGTATTACTCAAAGAATGTGCTTGTGTTGATGTTAGGAGTGCACTTAGTCCAAATGCTTCTTCACAATTTATTAAGTTATTCTAAATTGCTGAACCAAAACTTCTTTCTCTAGGTTATTCAGTGATTTATTTTTGAATTTAATTTTAAATTTAAAAGTTATTGTTGACTTCCTTCTTAAGCTAATCAGAGACCCTTTTAGTGACCTTGCCAGTGCAGCTTTTTTCTCAAGGAGAGCAGGATATCACATTTTTCCTTATGGAATTTGTCAGACCTTAATATTTGTCTTGATGATTTTGGCTGCAAGCTTATTATTGTGTGAACTAGTATTTGACCCTCTGATATTAAAATTACAGTTGAAACCTTGCATCATTTATTGTGTTACAAGAAAATACTTGTGATAGAACAGACTCGAAATTGCAAAAGAAGGAGTCAGCTAGGAAAATATTGATTCTTCACTAGTTATTGCAGTACAAATTTTCCTTTAAAAAGTTCAAACTGCTGCTGAAGCCCTGCTTTTCTTGACACTGTATTTTCTGTCATTTTGTTGCAGTAACATTTCTTATGTTCCAAACACTTGGAGGTGTGGGTTTGATTTAATTCTGATGAACAACTGCTTTGATCAGAGCTGGGTTATTCAAATTGATGTGGCCTAAGTGCATACAGTACTTTATACCATGTTTGCTTCAGACAGAACCCAGGACATTTGCAAAGGTTGTGTTTTTCTCACCTCCCTCCTCTTTTATTCCATCTTCTCTCTTCCTTTCATGTACCTTTAGCTTAGATTCTTATCTTTCCCCCCAATTCCCTCATGGTCAAATAAGCCTTTTGTTTGAAAGAGATGAATCCTTTATCTCTTTATTAGTCATGTTTTGAAATTTAGCTGGGGACCTAGTTTCTGCCCTACCAGATTAAGCAGTTTACGTTGCTTAAACAAGAAAACCTGTGCTGAAGTTATTAGTCCTTGAAAACTTAAGTAACAATTTTTTATTATTTAGCTGAAGAGGGAATAGAAAGCACTGATGAGCTAAGTGAGCTTGTTGACAGAATAAGAGAAGCTGACTAAATAATAACTCAGTAGTACTTGAAGAAAGAAAAGTGCAGAAGGGGAGAAGGAAGCAGCCTGACACATCCCCATATGTAGAGTCTGCTGTTTATTTGCCTCCTGTTGTAATTGCTCCCATTCATGTTCTTTGCCTGTCTTTATTTCCCACTTTGAAAGAAATTTAAATTGTGAAGAGTATAATGACTATATTGGCCTTGCTTCTTATCAGCAAATACACCCCTGAAGGTATTTAAATGTACTGTACCTAGTGTCCACTGGACATGTAAAGTGTCTGGGTAAAACTACTGTTTCAGATTTACAATTAAGGAAGATAAAAATCCTCTTTTTTACATTAATGTGCAAAAAACAAAGGTTATTTGCTTTTGTATTTTGGATATTTTTCATGACAGTGTCTATGGGTTAGGGAAGAGATCAAGTAAAACACCCAAGTGCATGAGCAACCAGAGACCATTGTGGTTTCTGGAAGGGAATCACACATCAGAGGCTGTCTGTCTCTAATTGTGTGCACAGGGAGTGCCTGAGCCATTGGTGGCAGCCCCCTGAAGTCCTTCCTGAGCACATCAGCGTCTCCCTAAGGCACAGCTCTCCCTGGTGTCCTTTTTCAGTGCTCCAGAAAATAACAAGTTGTTTTCTCTGTTTCAGTTCTCAACTACAGTACCTTGTCAATAGATACCTGATGTTATTCTTTCAAAGAGATTTGCAGGGGGTGGGGTGTTACTTGTTTGGTTTATGTTTTTAATTGACTGTGGTGTCACCTTATGTATTATTTATAGGAATTACTGAAGCCAGAGCCATAAACAGAAGAGCCTCTTTACCCAGATCCTTGAACCTGGATTCTGTGTGGATCCAGGTTCAAGGATGTCTTCTTCTGAAGCCCTGACTCTCCAGCCTGGGAGACACTGGGAGAGATATTTGCCCATCTGCATTTCCAATGCCTCAGAGCTAGACCGGTATCTTGGGGCTCTGGGAGAAGAATTCCAGATATAGATATACAGTGAGAATATAGTATAATATGATACAGATATCATATATAGACAGTGAGAAAACCCAGGTAAATTTCTGGGAGTAGGGAATAGGAAAAAAGGAAGATGGGAACACAGCATATTGCTGCAGACCAACTCATGAAGTGTAATTATTAGTGCATGAATCAGTAATTGTCAGAGAAGAGATGGGTAAGACATACTTGTATGTCTTGAACTGAAGCAAAGGCCCAGTCTCCTTCACTTGCTTGTCAATGCCCATGCAAAATCTTCACAGGCCTTCCTGGCAGAAACAGAATATCCTGGGGCATCCTTGTCCATATCTATTGAAAACCAGTAGGATTTCTCTGGGCATGAGGATAAAAGCAGATGGAACATGAGGAAGTTGATTTGTGCAACACTTCTCATGCCTGCTTAAAGAAATTTGTAGCATGAGTAACCCATACAGCAACCCATACCAGAGGTAGGCTAAAGCCAAACATGAAGCATATCCTCTGGCAGAAGCAGTTTATGTACCTGCATATATGGTGCCTTTGGTAACAGTAATAGTAAGAGAACATTTGAACTATTGGGAAAAAGGCTACTCTGTGTCCCAAACAGTAAAGTCATTGGATGCACTGATAAGTCCATTGATTTCAAAAGTACTAGTGTGTTTTTTAAAGGTAATACAATTAATATTTTTAATATGTATTATATATATATATTATATAATATATATATATTCTCATATGCACTGTAAGATTGGGATCAATCTACCCTGAACACATACTCTACTTGGATTCTATTCAGTATTACTAAAAGAAGTTATCCTTGGAAGAACTTGCTGTGTGCTCTAGTCAATGTCCTCACACCTCCCTTCACTATGTGCAAGATGCTGAAATCAGTTAGAGAAATAGGAGCTATGTTAAATTATAACCTGTAAGTCAACAGGGGCATCACATTAATCTGACCTAATGGAAGTTATTCCCTTTGTGACAAAGCTGCAGACAGTTCATTTTCTGTGTATTTGACTGCAGGCAACTTGATTTTAAGAAACGTCTTCCATTTGTATTGTCATCCACAAAAGGATATTGTTGCTTAGGTAAAACGTGATATATATTTTTCCATTTCATACTTCAGTCTTTTGAAAAGAAAATTAAACAAGTGTGCTTATCCGGTTTTTATTGTTTTAGGCTACTTTAGTAAGCTACCATTTGCCAAAGCATACCTCAAGGTACTGTCAAAAACAGTACTAAAATTTTGCTCAAAGTGAAATACATTGCATATTGATAAATTTTGCTGTAGTGCTATGATTGCTGAGAATTTTCTCTGATGGCATACATAAATGGGTTTGTTCTTGGAAGATACTGAGATGCCATTAATGCCTCTTTCTGCACAGTATGTAGTGACCTTGCTCATTTTTTTCCTATAGCAGCAACAGCTTGTTCTGTATGTGTGTCTTGTTTCCTTGTGAGAACTCATTCAGGACAGAAGTGAAAAGCAAAGTTAATGCAGGTCAGTGCAATATGCAGTATAGAAAGCTGCTGAAATACTGCATGACAGACTCAGCTAAACCTTTTAGGTATGCTTTGCTCGGTCACGTATATCCCTTTGAGTTTTAAATTACCTTATTCATATGCTTTCAGACAGTTCTGCTTTTGCAAAGTCCTTCTGATTCTCAGTGCTGAGACTCTACTCTCATGAAGGCGCCATCAGGGTGAGTTTCCTATTTGTTCGCTTGTGGCATCAGCATCCCTAATTTTTACAGAGATCAAAATGCTTCAGTCTCCTCTGCAATCCCAAAGGTTTTATTGGAGATATATTTTCTGTGCCCAGTTTCCTCTCAAGCTTACGAAGTATTTAATTAATGTACATATTTTGACACCTCATGACCTATCTGTTACTTTGTGTTTGTTGCCTTCATAGAGCTTTGATTTCTGCTCTCTGGGCAGAACAACTTCCTTACTGAGCAATACTTTGGGTCCAGAACTCTTTTTGTCTTTCTGTTCTTCTTTTATAAAGGGTTGTTCCTACCTCCTGAGACTGCTACACAGCACTTCAGAAAGTCACTGTAGAGTATTAGGCCTTTTAATTTTCTTTGTTTTGACTGTACTATGTTCTGATCCTGCTTTTCTGTCCCCATGCACTTAGTAGAAACTCCTGATTTGAAGTGAATCTGTGCTAACTGTGCATGGCTTTATTCCTAGAATTTGCATGCTTGCCTCATCTTGTTGCCACTGGAACTTCAGTGCAGCATCTGGAATTGTTCGCAAGTTTTCTTTAACTTTCTGCACTTTCTAGTCAACTTGCTCCTACTCTCACAAGTAAAGTGAAGGCTATGCAGAAGTGTGTGGCTTGTTTTTTCAGTCTGAAGGACTGAAGCTTTCAAAATTAATTCTCTTTGTTTCCTGAATATTCCCTATCGTGATGCTGATTACTTGCTGCTGAAGCCACTTGTTTTTACTATTTCATGCTAGCTTGCCTCTGATTCCTTTGACATTACCTGTTTACAAAGATCCTGTGGCTGCTAATTACAGGATTTTGAGAGACTTCTATCCCTGTAGTTTAATTGTGGCCCAAACTTCTTAGAACTTCTGTCTGTTGAGAGAAAATTTATGAAAGCTAACTCAATAAAATTCATTTCCATTGTATCAAAGTTTGAGGGCAGTAATTTTGTTTGGAAATCTGCTTCATGAAGGGAGAAGTTTAATCATCGAAAAACATTTTAAAAACAGTTTTCCTTCATAAGCTTTGGAGAGTATAATAAAAAACAGCAGGAAGGGAAAAAAACCCCAGCAATGCAAATCTAGTAAAAATGAGTCCTTTGATATTGCAGTGCAATTTGTTTCTCCTAGTCATCAATCTTAGTGATCACTTAAGTTAGACAAAACAAAATGCTTTGCAAAAGCCATTGTCTATGTGTACTGATGGTTTGACCTTTGTTTAAAGATGATTTTATTTTGTAAAGGGGAATTTAGAAGTGATGTTTTTTCTTCAGAATCTGTACCAAATAAGGTCAGTATTCTGCACTTTTCACATTGTTAATTTAACCATGGAAAAGCTAATTATGGTCAGTTGCATCCTCACTGGAGCTAAAATACTTAGTAGAAGGTTTTTGTCTATATCTGTCTTTTTATCACTGTCAGAAGCTCAAAGTTTAATCTTGCATAATAAAGCCTGCACCTTCTTTCTAAAATAACTGCTTTACTATGTTACTGTTCCTCTGATTTTACTGCTCTTAGTGTTAGCAAAAGAAATGACCTGACTGGTCCCTGGAATAGCTTAATAATTCAGATATTGTTTCATAGTGCTTTTGAAATGTTTACCAGCAGGATGCTTATTGAGAATCTTTATTTTCCCTTCTTGGCAGTTTTCTAACTACTCTCTTATAAAAGTAAATCAACATATGCATATAGTAAACATTTTGGCAAGCTGATACAGCCACAACTAGGCAATACAGAATATTAATAAATCATTGCAGATCAGCCACATATTCTTCATGCTGTTTCTCAGCTACTTCTGGAATCTGACATGTAATATTCCCTCCTCTTCCCCACATCAACTGTTTACGTAAAGCAATTACTAATTTGAACTTCAATATTTTTAAGATATGTGTCTCCATTAGGATGTGTATTACATTGCCAGATATGTTATATTGAGAGGAATTAACTCATTTTCATGAAATAAAAATCAATCCTAACTTTGAATCAGATCCAGACAAAAAATTGTTAAGGTTCAGAAAAGTTTATTCTTGGCTATATAATCTGCCTCAACACTTTGAGGATGGAAAACAAAAGAAAAAATTACATACAGGTAAGGACTTTCTCCAAAAGTATGTTTTAATAATACATCCTTAATAATCCAATTTGGAAAGCTTAAGAAATGATGAAAAAGCAGTATAAATGCTAATTCTAAAATGAAGAATCAATCCATTGATTGATCCAAGACTTTTTGATATCTATTCTTCATCAATACCAGTGACAAAGATTCAAGGACTGAATTAATCTATGCCAGTTTAAAAGAGAATTCAGATACTTGTTTGTTTTGTTCAAATAATTCTTTGATGTATCTGGTGAATCTATGTACTCTTAAAAGGTATTTAGGGTTTTTTTTTTTGAAAATCTTTACCTTCATGAAATGACTAACTTAACTCTTTCTATACCAAGTGATCTTTAGGTGGGGTAATTTATATTCCTGTGCTATTATGTATAAACAACATTTTATTTTGAGCACAAAGATGTGTCAGTCACAATTAAAATATACATATAATTATGCAGTGGGGAAAGTAGTTAATACTAGTCTGATTATATTTTAACCAGTTTTTATCAGAGTTAATTTTATGTGGAAGTGATAGAAGGTAATTTTCCTGTTATTTGGCATTGTTAAGCATTTAGAATTAGCACAAATGTCTTCAGGTTGTATGCCAAATTTTATCCACAATGTACATTATCTAGCTCTCCTACTGAATAAAGGACATCAACAATGGATTCTTGAAATCTAGATTGAATTTTGAAAAATACATTAAAATCTCTCAGTTGATGGGCTTCAATTACTTACAACTGATATATAGTTTGAAAGACAAGATAAGAATTGGAAACACAGGCAACATAGTACATGAATCTCTCCACTTACATCTTTTTTCTTTCTCTCACATCATGTAGGGAGTTATTTCAAGCTAAGTAACTCTTATAATATTCTTCCTGAAAAACAAAGAAGCTAACTAAAAGCCATAATTTTTAAATTATAATTTGGGGAAGATATTTTCATGTTTTACTTAAGTAATAAATTAAATGATACTTTTTTTTTTTTTGTGAAGTCAGATGTTATTTTGAAGTAGTTGTGTTTCCATTACTTATAAAAATGACACTGTAGCTGTTGAACTCTGCGCATATTCTTCACTGTTGCAATGACCTATCAAAAGCTGAATGTAGAATGATCTGTGAGCAGAGAGAAACTGGAGATCAGAGGAGCATATATGATGTAGTATCATAATGATAGGGTAGAAAAAACAGATGAGCAAGCAGGCTTAAAAATGTCACTATTCTGTAGTGACAGCCATTTCCCTCTTTGGTCTGGAAATAGAAGGTTTTGGTTAAATCCTGTCGACAGTGACTCCTCCTGAGGTTGATCAAAATGTCTAAAACTTCATCTTGTTCCTTTTTGTTAATATTTATAGTGTGCAGCAGAGAGCAGAAAATCCCCAGAAGACATGAGGAAACCAATGCAAATCTCGGCTGCTGACTCTCTGCAGCTGCTTCGGGCTGACATTTCCTTATAAAAGTTGTCTAGATCTAGGGAAATACAAAACGCAAATAGCATGACTGTCAGAAGAAAATAATAATTGAAAAATCAGCTTGGTTTTACTAATCTGTCTGTAATTGTTCTTCATAGCAGGAGTAATGAATTTTTAACCTGGAAATAACTTAAGTATAGTAATTCACAGCATCATTACAGGATATTTATAGACAGGATGCAACAAGTTCCATACTTATGAATTTTAATTCTGTGCTGGATATCATTCATTCTTTCATTATCCAGCTGTGAGAACAGGGCAGAGCATGTAGGGTAACTGTAATGCTTCTACAGTGTTACTTACACAAGATGAAAAAATTGTGGTAAATAAGAAATTAGTGACATTCTAAAGGCTTGCAGAAGAAACAAAATGATCGATTTTTTCATACAACTGAAGAGCATCTGTGGAGTTGGGGGGGAGTGTAAATATTCCACTTAAAATAGCAGCTGGTTTCACATCACTAAATGACAAATCTGAAAGGGTGATTCACTGGCTACAAAACTTTGGCATTATAAACCTACTATTAACCTTCTGCAGAGGGCAATTGAGGGAAAAAAAAAGAAACACAGGCAGAGACAGTTCAAGTGCTAGCTGCAGCACCATCTTCAGAAGAAATCAGAAAGCTGTACATCAGCTCAAGTCACTGCTCACCAGACCGTAAAGGCATTGCCTCTTGCTCCACTTAATTATGGTGCTGCAGCATTTATTCATGGGCAAAAGCTGTGATTTGTATCTGTTTGGGAATATGACACCTTGCTAGCTGGTTATAGTGGTACAATTGCTTTTTTTCTGTGCAAGGAAAAGGTGATATGTCAGACTGAAAGTCATCAATGACATCTTTTATTCTTGATAAAATGCTAGCAAAACTCTTGTCATTCAGATTTTAAAATATTTGTTCGGTCTGCTTCTGTCCAAGAGTCAATGCATTTAAGAACAAACTGTGGTTCCCAGATAAGATTTTTATTTTTTAATGTAATTCCATACAATGAAATAGAGATAGTAGAAACTGAAATACAGAAAATTTATAGTCTTAATGAAGAACTTGTCAGAAAACATTACAAAAATCATTATTATCCATTTATTACTTCAGCTGCACCTCTGAGATCCTTCTGCTCCAATATTCTTACTGGTCACTTCAGAGAAACAAAGCCTCTGATAGAATTAGAGAGCAAGTATTGCCTTTCAAAAGTTTAATAAACCTTTATGGATTTTTAGAAGATACTGAGCTGATTGACAGGGTCATGTTACTCATCTTGCTGAATGATTCAGAAGTCTGGGTATTTCACCCAGAGGAAAACTGCAGGTTTTTATGAAGTAGTACTGAGTTATATCTAGTTCCTTATCATCAATAAAAACTTCACATTAGTCAAAGTCAAACCGATTTTTTGTCCAGGAAACATCATACCAGACATTTTCTTGAAATGACCTCCAGGAATGAGAGCTAGCTTCAGATTGAAACATCTGCATTTATTTGTCTGCAATGCAGGTGTCTGCATATAGGTGTGGTAATCTTATGAGTTCCCTCGGGAGTCACTGAAGACCTCATCAGCGCAGGCAGGGATGGGCAGCCAGGCCTGTTTTGCCATCCCAGCTGGCAGCAGAGCAGCCAGGAACACCAGACAGCCCCAGATATTGGACACATCCCTGGGGATGAGGATGGGCAGAGGCTGGGTCCAGCTTAGCGTGGCCCATAGCTCATGGCTGGGCAGGGCTGGGCTGTGGGAAGCTGGAGACCAGCCTCACTCTGGCATCCTGGGGGCACTGGCCTGGGGTTCTGTGCTGTGGGCAGGATGAGGGGGGAGATCTCTGGAAAGCTGGGCAGAGATACTTAAGATCCTGGACTGTTTCAAACTTCTGAGCATTTAAACTACATTTTGGTTTTCACAGCTCAGCAGTCACAAGCAGTCACAAAGACAGATGCAGAATTTCTTACTCAATAATCACTCACACTACCTTTAGTAAATGGAGAATGGACATGTGAGCTCCCTGCACAGATTCAAGGCAACATTTTTTTAGTAGAAAATAGTTATTAGGTGCTTTCACCAATTTATTTTCTGTTTTTCCAGCTTTGTTCACATTCCCTGATGACAGAAAGCACCAGCAAAAATTGGCAGAGGAGAGCTTTCCTGATGATGAGGAATCCTGTCATGGGGATAGGGGAGATAGTGATTGTGACAGGGCCTGGGGCTGCCTCTGGGATCTGTAAACTTCCACTGCCCTCAGTGACAAGCACCCTCAGTGGGACCAGCCATGCAGCAAGAGGTTTTGAAATGGAGAAGAGAGAGAGAACCTCCTCCCTATCACAGGTCACCAAAATCCCAGTGATCCTCCAGAGTATTTAGTATTATAATGCTTGGCAGTATTGTAGTAATCACCAGCTTAATAAATATTTCTGATAAATAACATTTTGTTTTTTCCTTTGATTTGTTTTGCTGTTTTCTTCACTAAAGGGGCAAGAATGACTCTTCATTCTGCTTCCATCTAAGCAAAACATTAGGACAAAGATAATTATTGATCCAGCCCTAACAATTGCCAACAGAGTTGTGAACAATTGCTTGTTACAGAGTTGTGAACAGTAGCCAAGAAAACATTGAACTTTTTTTGGGACTGAGCACACATTTTATCTTTGGCCTGGCTTAAGTTATTTTTCCTGTACTTTGAGGTTCAAATTAAAGAAATGGCAACTGAAGACTGAACCCTCAAAATATACTTATTGACTTCACTTTGTAGCAAAACAGGAGATGGGATTAACTATTTTTCTGTCTCTTTTCTCTGGGGAAGCTCATAAACCTTCTCTCTGTTTTTTCCTTTCTTTTTTTCCACTTCACAAAAGAGAGTGCAGCTTTCCCAGAATTTTAGCCATCAGAGTCATAAAGAGTAAACTGAACATAACTATGTTATGCTGAAGTGGGATGCTGAAATTATGAGTAGAGAATTAATTCCAATACGAGGTGATTCAATCTAGCTTTTACATTCTGCATGAGGAGATAAGTGGATGACTATTCCCAAGACCAAAAATTGCTCCTCCCAGCCTTCCCTCCCACACTTCAGCCCTCAGAGGCCCTTTAGCAGTCTTGTCAAATCATAGAATCATAGAATGATTTGGGTTAGAAGGGACATTTACAGGTCAGCTAGTCCAACGTTCCCTGCAATGAGCAGGGACATCTTCAATTAGATCACATTGCTCAAAGCTCCATCCAACCTGACCTTGAATATTTCCAGGAATGGGACATCCATCACTTCCCAGAGGAAAACCTGCTCTGGTGTTTCACCATCCTTATAACCGCTTTCCTTTTACAACAGGTTCTGATAAAATGTGTGTCCCCACCATTCCTATAATCCCCCTCCAAGGCTGCAATATGGTCTCCCCAGAGCCTTCTTGTATCCAGACTGGACATCTCCATCTCTCTCAGACTCCCTGCACAGAGGAGCTGTTCCAGCCTTCTGTTCATCATCATGACCATCTGGAACCATTCCAGCGTGTTCCATGTCTTTATTCTGCTGACAACTCTGGAGATGGATGCAATACTCCAGTTGAGGTTGTACAAAGGAAGAGCAGAGAGGTGGAATCATTTTCCTTGGTCTGCTGGTCACACTGCTTTTGGTGCAGCCTAGGATGCTGCTGACCTGGGCTGTGAATGCACTCTTGGCTCATCTACCAGTACCCCAGGCCCTTCTTCACAGGGTTGTTCTCTAGCTCTTCACCCTCTAGATAGTATCAATATTGGGCATTTCCCTGACACAAAGGCTGAACCTTGCACCTTGGACCTCATGGGGTTCTCATGGGCCCACCTCTTGAGCTTGTCCAGATCCTTCTGTATGTCAAGTCCCTCAGGCTTGTCAACTGCACCACTCAGCTTGCTGAGGCTGCATGGGAACTCACTGTCCATGGCACTGATAAAGATATTAAACAGTACTTATCCCCATATGAACCCATGATGGAACACTACTTGTCACTGATGCCCATCTGGACTTTGAGTTATTGACCACTACACTCTGGATGCGACTGTCCAAACAATTCCTCCTTCACCAAATGGTCAGTCCCTTAAATTTGTATCTCTTCAATTTAGAGAAAAGTATGTTGGGGGTGGGGGGGACCATGTCAAAGAACTTCTTCTTTCTGTCTTTCCCAAGAGTCCCACAAATGAACAAAGACTAGGAAGCTAAAAATTGAACAGTTTCATAGAAATATCTTTCCAGGCAACTGCTCGAGATATTTTACATAACGAGTTTATTGGTGGCAGCAGACTGCCTTTCAGTGGAGTTCTTAAACCATTATTTCAACAGCCTTTTGAATATACTCTTAGCAGCTGTAAAAGTCAAAGTGCCATGAGTCTGCCTACAACACACTGTTTCATATCACCATCTTCCCTGAAGATTTCTGGTAATCCTGCAGTAATTTTCAAGTCTTAGTTATGGAAATTTTGCCAGCACATCTGTTAATGAAAACAACTGAAAACAGCCTTATTTGAATATGCATTAATTTCTATTTTAAAGTGATAAGGTTTTCTAATCTTGATGCCTTCGGAAAAGCATTCAGAAAATGAAGAAACATATGTTAGATTAAGTTCAGTTTACTGGAATGTAACTCACAGCTACATGGACAGTTGGTGGATGTTGTTGTGTTACATAGAATAGAGATAACAGGACATGATAAAGCATATATACACATATACAGTTTTTGTAAATTAAAAAAAAAGGAAGTGTTTTCCAGAAAAAATCAATACATTTTAAAATTCTAAAATTTGGAATATAAAATGTTTAAAATAAATTAAAAAACCATACAAAAACGTGCCTATAAGGAATCTGATGTACTTGAAATAGGCTCCATCATACGAAGACTGTAAAATTTTAATTCCAACCTAACCCCGTCAATGCTAGGATGCTTCCTCAGTTCTTTCAAAGATTTATCTTCACTGCACTCCTCTGGAATCCTTCTAAAAGATCTACCCCTTTCTTAGATGTGCATTTCTGAGGTGCAGTGGAGGGGTGCAGAACAGGCGGTCAGCAGTCTGACTTGCTGTCTCTGATGTCTTATATCTGGTCTTCTTCTTGGAGCTTTTTAGAATAAGTATTACATTGTGTATCCAGCTTAAAACGTGAACAAACTTGTAACAAGACAGTCCTCTGCAGCCCTCCTGTCTCCATTCTCATCTCCTTCCTTTGAGCTGAAAACTAATTTGCCAAAAGAGGTTATTTTTCACCTACTTTGTGCCTTTGATATGGTTTGCAGAATAGCTATGCCAATGTTTTTCCCTTGCAAAAGAGAGGAGGTATGGCAGTAGAAAAACAAGACTCTTATAGTGGCATGACTGATTCATGTCAAATTAAAATATATTTTGAATTACTTTCAGCCTCCTATTATACTTTCAACCCATCATTAGCATTTTTCTGCATTTTTCTGTTCTTCTTTAGTTTTATTTTGTCTTACTAATTTCAGATTGTTCTGTAAATTGAGCAAAAAAATGCTGAAAGTAGTTGCTTGTCCTGAAGTGCTTCCTCTGATGCAGCTTGCTCTTAGTGCAGTTATTTGTGTATGCTCTCTACTCCAGAATTCAAGCTATTTGTGAAAGCCCAGAACAAACCTATAAAAGAATTTCATAGGTACAGTCAAAAAACTACTGCACACTCCACTTTAGTCAGCTTTATTGTCCAGTCTTTTCACTGTTGTAAGATAATCCTAGCTGCAGTGCATTTCCATAAAAAAGATGGGAAATACTTTTTGCTTTCCCTATTGACTCTGTGGAAGATGAGATTATTTTGACTAGGGATGCTTTTGTACTTCCTTTTGGGATATTTCCTATCACATTTCTTTCAGGGACTAGTTGAATGATTGTTCAATATTTTTCAACAATATCTTTTTGGGTTGATTATGTCCAGTCCTACATATTCCTCATTCTGAAGAAAAAAAAAAAAGACTATATTTATATTTATTGTTCTCCAGCCCTCAAGTCTTTTCTGACACCTCTGTTTCTCTCCTTTCAAATTTTCTTAGGTAACTAATTGCAAATTATTCAAAGATCCTTTTTGTTACTTTCTTTAAAGCTATTGATGGAAATCCACCCCATTTACTGTCTTGAACACCTCCCATATTCTAAGCTGTTTGCTCACCTGAACTCCTCTAATATAAAGTTTGTGTTACATGCATGGTTGCTATTAATCTTTTTTCTCCAAAGGCCCATACCAAAAAGGCAGTAACTATTTTGACTTTTATTAGTATTATTAGCTAATTATTAGTATTATTAGTATTATTCATTATTTATTCACTCTTCCTCTTAAAATAATTGATCTGTATTTCCCTCAGTTTACACCTAATGATGTATAATGTGCTTTTATTTCATGTTGCTTTCTTTGTATGAATCTCAAGTCATATCTTCTCTGCAGTTTTTGTCTACGTGTTTTTACTGTTTATTTAGAATCCCTTTCATCCCTTCATCATTTCAGCCTTCTGCATTTTGTGCAGTTCTGTGTTAAACTGGTAGCTCTTTCACAATATTTATCTGATTTGAAAACAGAGGGTAATATTCAAGACCTCAGAATACTGCTGTGGGGTCTTCTGCTTTACTTATTATCTCCTCCCCATGTCACATTGCCACTGCCTGTGAAACTGCCTATTTAAAAGCCACAAGTCTTGTTACCTTTCTTCTTTTTGTATTCTCTTGATTCATCTCGTTATTTCTCTGCATTGTAGTGATGAGTCACTGTGGACTCCCACCTCTCTCTCTCAGACTTTTGCTCCTTTTGCTGGACTCTCAAGATATTCTATTATGGAAAGATCTGTACCTATTTTTGTTCCTCATAAAGGAGAAAGAAAAGGTAGAGATATTAATGCATGCATTAATGCAGATATATAGAAACAGATAACTCAGCAGACTGGTGTAAGTTAATCAGTAAACCTATTTTTCTGTGTCAATGAGTTTTGATTTGGCTCACTAATTGATAATATTCATTGCAATATTTTTTAATATTGTTTCTGGACTACTTCTGAGTTGTTTACTCAGAGTCTATCTTCTTGTAATCTGCTTGTCTCTTGTAATCCTTCAGTTGCATGGTTACTTGGTTCTCAAATGCTTGGGAGTTTCTCATGCATACACATGTATTAGTTGTAGACCCATCACTTTCAGTCATGGCATTTTCTAACATGAAAAAAGTAGTATCAAAAAGTAGTATTTTTTTCTCTGAACAATGAAAAGGTAAATGGTAAAGTTAATTGCTAAATAAAATCTTAGTGCTTATGATTCAAAACAAATAAAATTTATGCTTTTATATCTGCCTGAAGGAAATACAATATTCAAACTTTTAGACTCTAGTCCCTGAAGTGCTGTTAAAAAATTGTCCTATCTGTCCCTCATTACCTTCATTTTTTTAATTC